CTGAAACGTTGGTTAACATCGACCAGACGACACAGCACAACAACCCAGAAGACAGAAATCTTCATACTCACTGCTGTGAAAACCTCAAATCTTTCATTTCAGAGGTCCTTGCTGCCTCCATCATCAGGAAAATAAGTATGATGATGAAGGCAGCAAGGATCTCTAAAACAACGGTAAACTTCTACCAGACTATGTGGCGCTACAACCGAAAAGACAGTCGTCTTAGTACTCACCGCAAAGAGACCCTCAAACCGTACTAGGTGAATATCATATTTACACATTCATTTGTCTGCATTTTTCTTCCCCAGAACAATTCAACACTGCAAGGCACACAAAATACAATTAAATTACTAAGGAAGGATTCAAGGCAATTAAGAAAACTGACACTGAGAATTCATATTATAAACGGATATTTAATAAACAATTAGGTACGCATGTGTGGTGCATGTTAAATGGAAATTGCAATTATGGATACAGTAATGCAGGCAAATGTTATTTGGGCCACAACAGCTCAATAACATTTCTCAGTATTGTACTTATTTATTGACGTGCAAGGTAACAATTATTAATGCCTCTATGCGTATATTAGCCATCAGCAACGCACATATACCTCAAACAGATTACGGACAATATGAATGAGATGTGTCAAATAACAAGAAATGTATTTGGAGAATTTGTGAAAAGTATTTCAATCATATTTTGATTTCACTTAAAGAAAACTAAAACATTCACGTGCATAAAAATATGACTTTTCATGCTTCACGTTTTTCGTTGCAGATCTACACCAGTATTTCAAATAAGGTTGTTGGAGTGCTTCTCCGTGCAAGAAAACACAAGTTTCTTGATTTTGAAGGTGAAACATTATTTCAGGCAAGCTCAGTTAAATTATCGGATTCAGGTCACTATTAAGAAATCGGGAAGTTGTTAAATATCAACAACATGAATCTTTCTAGTTCAGTTGCATGGAAAGTTTCTGTTTCATAATGAAAACACTTTCACTGTCGATGCCAACTCCTATTCTTTGTAATTTCTGCTGCATAATCAGTATGTAAAAAAAAGCTGCAAGGAATTACAATTTAAACTGACGGAGCAGACATGAACGCTGAGCTTTTTGTCACCCTAACATTTCTCACATAGCAAAATTATGTTGGCAAATATGTACTTTTCTATGTAAGATTTGAGGTTTTCACAGCGGTGAGTATGAAGATTTCTGTCTTCTGAGTTGTTGCGCTGTGTAGTCTGGTCGATGTGTAGTCTGGTCGATATTTACCAACGTTTCAGAGGTCATACTGCCTCTGTCATCATCGCCCTGATGACGGAGGCAGTATGACCTCTGAAACGTTGGTTAACATCGACCAGACTACACAACACAACAACCCAGAAGACAGAAATCTTCATACTCACCACTGTGAAAACCTCAAATCTTACTCAAAATACATTGCTTGCAATATAACTCCTAGCGTGGATGACCGTTACAAATATGCATGTGAGGAAGGAAAAGACTAGAAAGTGACACCACATACAGAGCAACAACTCACTCCTTCCTTGTTTTCTATCAGATGTGAAAATATTATGTTTAGGCTATAGAAGTAGCTTGTGTGGGTTAAGGCATCTGCCTACAATGCTAGTGTTTTATAGTTACTTTGACAAATAAAATACAGAGGAGTGCATCAAAATTCTGTGTGTCAAAATTAAAAGGGAAAAAAAATGTTTTCAGTTACTATACAAGCTCAGACACACTACAATCTTGATCCCCCCTTGCCCTTTCTATCCTCCCTTCTAATCTTACTGTGGTGTAGCTCAAGCACGCAGTTATATTGCAGCCACTGTGCTCAGATTGTTAGTATGGATACCACTGCTAATCTGTGTTCGCAGGTGTTGGTACTTGAACTACGTATGTCTTTTTCAGAACTATGTTAAATCTGACTCATCATTAATAGAAGTAACAAAGTGTTTTATCATTAATTTGAGTTTCCAAAAAGAAAGATCTGTAGCATGGTCCTCTTTCTGGAGAGTTGGTTTCCCGTTTTTAACAATTTTTCTTACGCGGACTTTCCATCTACAGGTATTGAACCTCTTCAGTATCATTCTTTCATTTCTCACAAACTCTAATATTTATCTTCTTGTCTAATCATATATAGCCAGCTAAGGATCCCAAGTTCTTATTTATGTTCCTCGTAATCTACTTTTATCTATGCCATCCCATGTCATGTCTTACCTCTGAATTTTAACACTGGCTTAACTGATATTTCGTATAATTTCAAATATGCACTCACCACACAACACTAACGTCATCTCCACGAACACACGTGTGATACAAACATACATGTTGGCTATCTTATTTACTTAGGAACAAACAGAGATTAATCACCTTAGGTCCACTCTACTAGTATTATACAAAAATCCATCCAGAAATCCACATCTAAAAGTATGTGTATTTTCAGAGAAGAGATGATGATGTTCCTATCATACTACGCAAGTCGCTTCCAGAAATTGGAGCAATATTCCAGGATCAGATGGAGAAAGTTGCACAGGGATGCCTTTCCGATAACTGACTGCCTGTTCTGGAAATCACACGTAGGAATCAACAACAAAAACGTGATGTACATTGTTTCACACACAGCTTTTAGATCCTGACAATACGATGTAGTGGAATGAAGTCTTGAAGACTGGGAAAGTATAATCCATAAAAAAACAATCCTGACAATACGATGTAGTGGAATGAAATCTTGACGATTGGGAAAGTATACTCCATAAAAAACAAACAGAAAAAAAACATAGTTTCCAAAGACACTCTTTACCATGATCTAAAAAGTCACAGCTTCTTTAAAATGAGCAGAATCTCTTACCTCAGGGTGTCATATACAATTGCTTGTAAAGGAAAGTGGCCATTCAAAACTGGCCCATGAATACTAATATATGTGTATAATAAAATGTTTATATCATTAATGTAAATAAATTTCATCTGGAATCTATATTGTTAATGTTATATATTCTGTCAAACACATATTCACATTAACTGAATATTCAAAGAGGTAAAAGCTCACACTGAATTTTGTAAAATTTCTAAACAAATGCTAACTGTACCAAATAGATTCATATAAATCACGTATCACATTATTGCATATAAGCATACTTGAAATATTTCTCCGTGTAATGAACAGTTAATAAAATATAACATATACTATGTGTATGCGCTTACATGAAGTAAAAATTCTAACACACCAAACCTAAGCCAAATTGATATATAACGGACAATTTTTAATGTGAACCGTCCATACAAAATGTTAACAAACTACATAAATCAATTCTGGCATTTAAACATGTGGATGGACTGTTAGTTGAATGAGCATAAATTCCTAGTATGGAGGTGTCCATTTTATGCATCGCATATGTAATACAAAGTAACCTCATGCTTGACTGCAATTTTTATATTTTTCTGCTGTTGCTGCTATAACTGCAACATACGATGTGTTACAAATGATCCCATTTTATCTCTGTATTCTCATTAAAACCACTTTGTATATTCCCATATTCCACATTTCTTGTTACACAAATAAATCTTATGACTCAATGTCAAGTGGGAATAAATTAATGTTCTTTCTTCACAAACCATGATATACGTGTAATGTCTGCTGGGCAGAACACAACCACGTCATTATGTACAGAGTGCATCAAATTCACTTTGTATATGAACCAGAAAAAATGAAGGAGGTGTCACTTTTTCTTAGTTCTGAGTAAATCAAAGTTTTATATACTGTGTCATAAAGAAACCAAGAAATGTGATGTATGAGTTTTGACTACAATAAGAATTACAATTTCCAACAGAAGAATATGTTTTTGAATTTTTTATGAAACAAATATTTTACAGGGGGCAGAATTGACAATTAACAAAAAATAAATAAAAAAATAACATCCATCAGTTACCCGTACTTCCTTTTTAAGCAACAATTTCTTCAAAACTTAATTCACAATTATTTTACTGTCTTGGGATTTGCAAAACATTTATAAAAAATAATAAAATTTGTAATGTATAAATACTGAAAACATTTAAAAAAACTATTACAAAGTCAAAGGACTTGCATTTTAATGATTGCATTAAACATTTCACATAGTGCCAAAGTTCCAACAGATAAATTTTAGATTTTCATGGTGGTGAGTCCAAAGATGGCTGTCTTCTGAGCTGTAGCGCCATTTAGTCTGGCAGAAGTTTACCAACGTTTCAGTGGTCACTGCTACCTCCATCATCAGGGTGATGATCTCATCACTACAACCCAGAAGTCAGCCATCTTCATGATTATCACATTGTTTGGCCTTAAATAAATAAATTTCAGATGCTCGATCACATCCTTCATTCCTATTTCCGGAACATTGCACAGACGTATACAATTTCACTTCTATGTTTGAAAAGACTGGTCTTTCCTTTTTACCGGAATGCCTCATATCCAAAATTTCAAAATCAAAATGATCTTGAAGTGTATGCTTATGAAGAATTTTAAATGGACAACTTTTCTATACTGGAGCCATTGTGTGTGTTCAATTCACTGGACAATGAGACTAATGTTTTCCCATTAGAGTTTCACTTTTCAAAGGGCAATATTGAATCTAATTTTTAAATAAGGTGATGCAATGATTTTATACTGCCTCTGTGGAATATAAATTATTTGTCTTCTGCCATGAGCTCTGCTCACCTGAAATCTAAATAATTTGGCAGAAATGAACAGCCAGAAACTAAAAACTTTTTATCAATGACTTGAGGTTCAATTTCATGCATAATGGACAAAGACATTTTAATACTTCATTATGACCAATACACATATCACCATACACTGTGATATTACCTTATCTGAAGCCTCTAACTTGCTGAGATTTATAAGATATAATGATTGCTTGAGAATCTTGAGTCTGTAGCTTCCTGCCAGACAGACGGAATAATTCACAAAATTATACACTCCTAAACCACAGCATAACAGATTCATCTTGCAGTAAGCATCAGACATGGTAGAAACTGAAAAGGGCAATATAATTTCTGCAAGTTAACTGAACACAAATATAGGATTTGAGACTTTTGCAGCGAGTACAATCAATAAAATCTTCTCGGGCAATCAGCCACGTCAACTGGTAACCGTAGTAAACCGACGACGTAAGTCCGTAAGTCACATCAGAACCCTGATGATGGGGACAGAGTTGGTTTCCGAAACGTCTGTTTACTATGGTAACCAGGTGACAAGGCTGATTGCCCGAGATTTTATTGAACACAAATAATTTTCTGGGTTGCTATAGCATTTTCCTTCTTCTTTCAAAGATGTGGATTTTTCTGGTGTACGTAAATGAAAAGACCATGTTCTCTTTCAATCACAGATTTTTCATCTTCAGTCATGCTACGATTATTAATTTGTTTTGTACATCATATTTCTTATACAGTATGCGGCTTTTCTATGACAACATATTGTGAACTGAATATAAATGACAAATTCTTTTTCAAACAGTTCTGTTCTCTCAAACTTCAACATAAAATGTACAAATTTTTCTTAAATTTCATGTACTTACTGTCTATTCCCATTGTAAGTTCCAATATAGTGGCTCGGGTGAGAGGAATAGGACTTGGTAGACTTGCAAACACTGATTACATCTTCATCACAATTTTTTCTTGATGAACAGCCATGTAAGCCTCTCAAACCTTCACTTGGATGCTTGTCTTGTATGTTTATAACACTCCCTAGACATCTGCCCATCACACATATTAAAGGTTTAAATAGAGTCATTTACAGACTTCAAAAGACTTTTCAGTTTCAAAAATACTTGCTGGAGCCATCTCTTAAACCTTTACTACCATCTGATGGCCTTCTCTGCTTAATAGCATGCTTCTGAATAAAACTAAACAAGAAGGTATTCTATTTGAAACTACCTATTGTCCAACAATTATTAAACAGAAGTTGCATCATCTTCTATAATGACAGTAAATATTATCAAAAAAGTTTGTTTCCAACCATATTATTAGAAATACCACCACAGATTTTACCTGAATTTGGAAATTTTTGCTGTATTTCTCAGAATTTGACAGTCTTTTACTACCTCTCTCCACTTCTGTCCTTCCATGTTCATCAGCACAACTTTCAGGTTCTTCTCCATGATTTGGAGCAAAATCTGGATCTAAATTTTAAACAGTCAATTAAATTTAGATATCGCTATCATCATTCCCTTTATGTACATTTTTCACTCAAATAATAACATGAATAATGTTTCCATGTTAAAAACTCATTCATCACCCTTATGAGCGAGCCAGCAAGCACCTCCGGAACATCAGTAAAGTTCAACCACGCTACACAGCACAACAACCCAGAAGACAGCCATCTTCAACTGTTAAATGTTTCACAATTAAAAGAATATTGCTACAAAACTTACTTTATACTAGATAAAATCCACTTGGAACTAAACTTGAACCAAAAACTGGCTTATCACCAACATGATTCTGAACAGGTGATTATTACTACTGAAGTATAATATTATGCTAACCATACCAATTACAGAATGGCTTATGTCTCAATCATACTAAATATAATTTATGTTCACAGAAAAGAAAAACACATGTAACTTAATATTTTATAAATTCTTTATGTACACCACTCTTTCTCACTAACGCATATGTAAATTCATCATATCCCTCTCTTAATATGAGTCATATTAAGAATAACACATTCTGCGGGAAAAAATAACATACCAACTCCATGAAGCAGTCTGTCTCAAGAAAACAGCAGTATGCTCAGCTAGTCAACACCTTTTACAGAACTCCAAGTCTTTACCATGTTCAGAAGAGCCCACCATCAGACCTTTTCCTAAGTCAGATGAATCCAGTTCACACCCACCAACCATTCACCTAAGATGTTTTAATATTATCATCCCATCCATGTCTAGGTCTTCTGAGTGTTCTTTTCCCTTCAGGGATTCCAACCAAAATGTCCATATTTCTTATCCCCCTCATGTGTGAAACATGTCCCACCCATCTCATCCTCCTCGATTTAATCACTCAACATTTGGTATGGAACTCTTCATTATGTAATTTTCTCCAGACTCCTTGTAAAAAAATATACACAAGATGAAATATTCACCACCTCTAAACAGTTACCTGTAACATTTTAATTTGGATAACTAAATTCAATTAGGTTGATTGAAATAAATATTGGACATTTCATATTAATCTGAAAACAGAGTTATTAATACCTGTAGAATATGAAACATTAATACTGATGTAACTACATTTAAGCATCAATTTTCACGGTGGTGAGTATAAAGACAGTAAAATTCTGGGTTGTTGCGCCATGCAGTCTGGTAGAAATTTACGGATGATGGAGGCAGCAAGGACCTCTGAAACATCGGTAAAGTCCTAACACATGCCGTTTCCCTTCATATTTTCCAGCTACGACTGAGTATACACTTCTCTCTTTCCTACATGCTCCACCCATCACAGACTTCTCACTTTCATCATCCTAATATATGACAAGAAGTAAAAATGAAGCCAAAACTTGTCTAATACTTAAGAATTCAGTCCACATCAAAAAGCAGAACACTTATTCATTAAAGAGGTCAGCTGGTTAATGCCGTTTAAGGAAATAATCACGATTTCCTCTAAGAAAACATAAATACACTGTAGGCAAAATGAATAGTTACCAATTCCTTAAGCAGGCTTTAAAAGGT